TCATGTACTGGTGATAGGATCACAGTGCGAGTGCATCTTGCATTTATAATTATTCATCCGCCTCATTCCAGGAGTTGTGATAATGATTCGGCCTGCTTGCCCGAATAGTGACAATAAGTCTCAATTACCAAAATCATGGACAATTTGCATGGGAGCTGATACAGAGCAGATGTCGACTTCATGTACGCTCACTTAATTCCGTGCTCGCGTACCACCGGTTCTTACACTCGCAACATCTTTCCACAGTAAATATAGACACCTTACAAGGACCACATTCCCCCGGACTATTGTATACTCACTCACATATGATTGCAATATTCTGACATTCGAGGCTAGGGTTCCGTATCATCGATCGTGGTTTATCTGGATGGTACTTACATCAGGGTACGAAATTCAATATTAAATTGTTACCCATGCTAATCATTCACAGGACGCTCGAGTGGCCGAGAGAATGGCGGCTATGAGCATGCAGATGTTGTGCATGAAACCCGCGGAGAGCACCAAATAGAGGCAGGTTTCCTCGAACAAGATGGAGGGGGAGGAAAAAGATAGGAATAAGAGGCCAATTTTTAACTTCTTGAACAACACTGAACAAGTAGCTGAATAGGCAATCATTTAATTACCTTTTTTCTTTCTTTTCTACATGCTTCCCAATTGTCATTTTAATTCGTTCAGGTTACAGTGCAATAATTAGGCGGGCAATGAAACCTGAGAGCTAAATTCACATTCACGAGGCGAAGGACTCTGCTCTAGACAAGCCTGAGAGCAAGTTTTTCCGCGCCCGAACGAGACTGTGTGTCCCTGTTAGTAACGGAGGGCAATAGAGGGTGAGCAGCTACACGTGATCTAGCTTCTCAACCTTTTCAGTGATCGGTACCACAGCGGCGGAAGTTCAAGGATAGAAACAAGAAAGAGGATAAGTATTACATGCGTACGAGCATCAATGCCACAGGTAAAGACAGTCCGCAACCAAAAACAAACCCGGCCGATCAGCTCCACACACCTTTCATCCGTGGTGGTATGTTCTGAATGCACGAAAATCAGGGAACTAGACAAGCACTTTCCACATGCTCCCATCACCACCAGCAAATAGAAAAAAAAGCAAGACTATTGAATCGGTGAAGTGCCATACCCGGAACGGACCGAATTTCGGACCGGGCCGGATGAACCCCTCTCTGAAAGGACGTCTTATATTTCGGACAGGACCACAGGTGTTCTAAGTACATTGGTGCGACTAGGTAGTCAAAATACACAGCTGCATATGTCTCTCTTAAATTAGAGGACCATCTTCAACGGTTGCCGAACTAGAGCCTCGTCTTTAGGGCGGAAATTGGCAGGGGGCCCCTCAAAAGTAACAACATCAAAGAACAAAAAGTTTTTTTACTCGGTGAAAAATCCCGTTTTGATGGAAAATAACATCAGTAAACATTACAGCCACTAAAAAGAGTACAAAATTTGGAATCAAATTTAAGCACTGCCACTACGTTGTCACAACACGGCCACTAAAAAGTCCCTCAACGATCAGCGTCACTAGTCTCAAAAACTGAGAAAAGGGATGATCTGAGTTTTGAAAGGGACGATACTTATTACATAAGTACTCGTAATTGTATCGGTCATGTATTTTAGGGGTTCGCTTACACTCATCGGATCCCTTACAATCCCAATCCTTCTCCTCAGCGCCAGCTCCATGAGTATACACCCCCTCAGCGCATAGCTGATGTTGTCGTACCAGAAGCTGAGGTACCCCTGCTTGTCCTTGATGCCGAGCAGCAGCACTTCCTCCATGAGCGTGAGCTTTGGCACGCTGCCCTCCAAAGCAGCGCTCTCCTGTGAGCTCAGAAGCAGATCGCGCGGGTCGTAGGCGATGGGCGACCCGTTGGCGAAGGCGCTGTCCGCGTGTGGCGGTCACCGGTGAGACCAAGCGACTCGAGCTGCACCTCAGGCGATTTTTCCGCGGGGGTGGCAGAGGTGGGCGGGGATGAGGGCACGGTGCCGTCGTCGTCGTGTGTTGTTGTGGTCGGGGCATTGGTGCGTCGGCGGGAGAGCCCGGAGGAGGCCATGGCGGAAAACAAGACAAGCAAAGCTGTGCTGAGAGCTGCATGTGGCGGTGTTTGGGAGAAGCGGGAGGCGGTGCGGTCAAAGCGGGTGAATTATACTACAAAGTGGCGTGATAACTCAAGGGGCGTGGGCGGGATTAAATTTGCGTAGTGGGAGGGACTCCGCAGCTTGTTCAGAAATTGTGAAAAAAAAAGGAGGGATGAAACTATCGATTCATGCACTGGCGGGGAGTCGAACCCCGGTCTGCCTGAAACTGTCCAATGAAAACAAGTGTTATCGAAGGGCAGCGTGCACCATGCACCACCGATGCTGAAATCTATCCTTTTAGAACCTGATTATACAGCTCTAAATCACCCAATGGCCAATGCCATCACAGTAGGTCAATTTCTTGAAGTTGAATCAACATCGGTCTAGGCGGGGTGCCCGATGTCTTCAACCACATCAATCTGTCGATATATATAATCCGGGAGAAGCTAAACAGATGTGCTGAGGGCTAGGCGCGAAAGCAGCTGGAAAAAAAAAGCTTAGAACCCCCGAATGCACTGACGGGGAATCGAACCCCGGCCTGCCTGAAAAGCCGTCAGAATCTATATTGAAAGGCGGTGTGCGCCACGCACCACCGGTGCTTATATCCATCCTTCTTCACCAATATTTATACAGCTCTAAATCACCCAATGGCCACAGTAGTTCAACTTCAATTTCTTACAGTCTTGGAATCAACATCGGTCCGATTTCTTCAACCACATCGATCCACGAATAATCTGTCGATACGTACCTAGGTCGCAGGGAAAAAAAACAAAAATATTCTGAGGAACCGCGAGAACAGTCATAGGTAAAACAGGAACAAACACTTCAACATAAGTATGCACCGGCAGGGAATCGAACCACAATTTGCCTGAAACACCGGTTTTCGATCTTCCTATTTAATGGCAGCATGCACTGTGCACCACCGGTGCTTGTATCCGTCCTTCTTGACTCTCTTTTATACAGCTCTAAATCACACAATAGGGACAGTCAGAGTAGGCGTTTCAGATGTGCTTCAGGCATTTTTAATTAGGTGTTTCGGATGTGTTTCTGGAATTAATTTAGCATCAGAAGCGTGTGAGAAACACTTCTGAGTCTGACCGTCCCTTTTCAAATTGCGCTTCAGATGTGATTCGGCTGATAAAAAAAATCCAAGTATGATGTGCGCCAAATTAAGTTCCTTGTAAAGTGAATTGAGGGCGTTGCTCAACACTTGCCGACAACACAAATGTTAGGAACATGCGCCCACGTGCTTTGATGGCGGGACGGCGGGAAATGATCGCACACGTCTGAGAAAATTCCACCCTTTGAGACCGCCGATGCAATCAATCACGTACCTGATCGCTGTCCATCATGGCTGTCCGTCGCCCCATGTGCGCATCTCCGCCACCCCTGTCGATGCCATCACCCCATCAAATGTCCCGCCCACCGCCGTCCCGCCTTCAATAATAGCCGTAAAATCACCAGATTTTTGGCGTGCACTGATACAATAAATAGGATCATGATTGCATTGAAGCGCCTTGTGCGCCATGCCACACATCGCCCCGACGCAGTATGTGATGCGCTGTCTGTCCTGTGTGCACGCTGTCCCGCGGCTAATAAGGGCGGCATGCCCTCCAAAATATTTGAGGCGGTATATCTATACATCTGTAGTGTGAGAAACCCAATGCGCCCTCCTCCAGACCAAGGCACGCGGCGGTGCCCACCATCGCGCGGAAGGCGCGGTGACAGTGATGAGAATGGTGATGACAGCAGCGATGATCACCACATCAATACGGTGAATGCAAAGGCGCTTTGATGTAATCATATTTGTAACACGTACCTTATCATTTTCACGAATTTCCATGAGGGGCGGGAGGGCAAAGGCGGGACAACAACAGCAGATTGATGGGGCGGTGATGTGCGGCACTTGATGCAATGATATTCGTAACACTAATATAGGCCTACCCTATTATTTTCACAAAGTTCCATGACTTTCCGGGGGCGGGAGGGCAAAGGGTGGGACAACAGTGAGCAGATTGATGGGGCGGTGATGCGTAAGAGGGGCGGAGATACCGACGACAGTGATGCGCAGGAGACGGTGTCAAAGAAGCTGATGGGCAACCATCAGAGATGAGCAGTAATGTATAAATAAATTCATGGAGGCAATTATTTTTATTTACTTGCGAATATACTTAGGATGAGGGTTTTGAAGAACAAAATAAAATCTCTGAAGCACGTTTCTGAAGCGCTGTGAAGCGCCTCCAGAGGCGCTTCGGCGTTTCAGAAGTGTTTCGATTTAAAAGGGTTTCTCCCACGCTTTAATAAATTGTGAAGCGCTTTCGAAACCCTTGCGTGAAGCACATCTGAAACGCTTACTCTGACTGTCCCTAATGGCCAACAGTACCATAATCACAGTACGAGTAATCTCGGGCCTGCGCAGGACCTGATCAATGCTTTCCCAAAATTTGCTTTTTTATTTTTATTTTCAACTACATATTGGCTGACAGGAGAAAACGACATTACGACGACTTCAGGATTGCGCCAGGACTGGTGAAAATGGCTAGAGGGGGAAAAAGACTCCGACTTCGACTTTAGTATGCACTAGCGGGGAATCGAACCCCGCTCTGCCCTGATTTAGACTATAAATATCTACACAGCTGGTAGGTAACGGGGACGTGCACCATAAGCTTGCACCACCGGTGCATATGCCCATTCTTCCTGAATCCCTTTTATATAGCTCTTGATCATACAGTGGACCGTTGTGTGATTCACATCGTGACTATTGTGGAATTCACACAATGGTCAATGTCTTTTACAGTCGGTTGATTTCTTCTTCAAGTTCTCGACACGTTCTCAATGATCTATTCTACAACATCCTGGTCCCCGCTGACACCAACAAAAAGATGCTACCGAGCAGTCCTAATAATACCCTCGAATGCACCGGCGGGGAGTTGAACCCCGATCCGCCTGAAATCACTCGGATCTCCAATATTATTTAATGGCGGCGTGCACCAGCGCACCACCGGTGCTCATTCCCATCTTCTTGACCATCCTTTACATTGCCCTCGATTTCCCAGTCTGCCTCGCCAACATAACCGGCTGAAAAAAAACTCCGGCAATGCCAAAATTTCAACGTCGAGGGCACTTACTTCCTGCTACGATTTGGGCATTCAATATGTGCCTCCTAGCAGCATGCAACGAACTTGCTGGGAGATATGAATAGCTTAAGCCAGGGGGAAAAAAAAGTATTGTTCGACAACCCCTTATGTAGTCTCGATCCAGCCTCTCATGACATCCCAATATGGGAACCCTGTCATGAGAGTCTGGGCCTATCTCAGGACTTTAGCCGTACCATTGCGCTATCAAAACTTGATGGCAATTTCTCACGATTCCGCATGGCTCAACAGGGGGCTTTTTTGTTTAAACTAGCCTTGAGCTCGGGAAATGGCCAACATTCATGACTATTCAACTGGTTTGATAATGCATGAGTGCAAACTTTGTTGATCGATAGCCTGGATGTACACAACGGATTTTTTGGGATTGAGGGGTTCCCATATTGGGATGTCATGAGAGGCTGGATCGAGACTACCCCTTATGCACCGGCGGGGAATCGAACCCCGGTCTGCCTGAACTATTGACAGGGTTCTTGATTGAAGGGCAGCGTGCACCATGTACCACCGACGCTTATATCTATCCTTCCCGACCCTAATTTATACAGCTCTAAATCATCCAATGGCCGATGCTATCACAGTAGTTTAACTTTAAGAACATCGGTAAGTATAGGCAGTGCACGATTCTTCCACATCGATACCTCCACAGCACTTTCCTAACAATCTGTCGACATAATCTTGGCCTTAGTAGTAAACAAAAATATACTGAGGAGGAGGCGTGAAAACAGCTGGAAATTGTTTCTTTACACCATGAATGCACCGGCGGGGAATCGAACCCCGATCTGCCTGAAACGCGTCACCTTGATCCTCCCCATTTAATGGCAGCGTGCACCATGCACCACCGGTGCTTATATCCATCCTTCCTGACCCTGTTTTATACTGCTCTAAATCACAGTGAGGACCATGGTGTCATTGGCACGATGGTCAATGCCATTTTACAGTGGGTTGATTTCTTCGAATTGAATCCCTCCCCGACACTTTCCCAATGATCTATCGACATAATATCTTAGTACTTCTCAATAATCCGTTGATACAATATCTAGGTCCCCGAGGCAAGACAAAAATATGCTGCAAGGTATGAAAAAAATGCAAGGATTCTGGACGAAGCACGGCCATGCACCGGAGGGGAATCGAACCCCGGTCTGCCTGAAACCCCGACGGATACAGCCTCAAACCTAGGGTCAGCGTGCACCCATGCACCACGGGTGCTTATTCCCATCCTTCTGTGTGCTGCTCCATACAGCTCTAAATAACCGAATAGCGAATCACATCACAGTAGGTCAGTTTTTGAGGTTGGATCAACTACATCAATACCCACGACACCTCCCAGTAATCTGTCGATGCAATATCTGGGCCTCTGTAGTAAGCGAAAATGTGCTGAGGAAGCGCGAAAGCAAATGGAAGAAAAAAAGGGCTGAACAGTAGATATGCACCGGCGGGGACTCGAACTCCGGTCTGCCTGACATCTTGTGCGCTTTTGGATTTTGGGGCAGCGTGTACCATGCACCACCAGTGCTTATACCTCTCCTTCTTAACCGCGCTTTACACGGCACTCCATTACACAGTTCGGCAATATAATGGTTGAACCAGTGCCAAAAGCTCAACATCGAGGGTGGGATTAAAGCACTTGGACAGTTGGAGGGATTTCCGCAGCTTTTTTCAGTCACTCGCTGTAAAATGAATAAAAAAGAAATAAAAAAGGGTTAATGCACCGGTGGGGAGTCGAACCCCGGTCTGCCTGACATCCTGTACACTTTCAAATCTTAGGGCAGCGTGCACCACGCACGACCGGTACTTATATCCATCCTTCTTGACTCTCTTTTATACAGCTCTAGATCACACAATGGCCAACAGTACCATAATCGCAGTACAAGTGATCTCGGGCCTGCGCAGGACCTGATCAATGCTTTCCCAAGATTTGCTTTTTTATTTTTATTTTCAACTACATATACGACGACTTCAGGATTGCGCCAGGACTGGCGAAAACGCGCTGTAATCAATTCATGAATGTTGTTCACATGGCGCTTCGAGAAACAGTGTAGACCGATTGGGCGCTAACATTGTAGCTTATGAAAATTCGGTGCAATTCATTTTTTGTATTCTATGCTCATTTGACTCGTACACGGTATTCAGTAACTGGTGCGATCCCAGCGTTGGATTTCTGGTTCATTTGTTGTCTCTGATCCAGCGTCCTTTACCCAGCGATGCGTCGGACATGTGGAAACTTTGTGCAAGTAGATGAGACGCTCCTGTTCTAGCTTTTGGAATGCTAATGACGCATGCCAATATTGTACTATTACAATCAAATCGACAGGGGGGGTGATGCGTGACTCCTTTTTCCGATTCGACAATTTGACAACCGCCAAAATCTTGAGTGACGGCCGAAAAATTTCGACAAATTCACCAGAAATCTGGCCAAACCGAGCTTTTTTTTGCATGGGGACATCGATTTTCGGCGTGACAAAGTTCCTGGAGCATTCGACAAACGGCTGGGTGACGAGTGACAAAGCACCAATATTCCACATCGACAGGTACCCGCGTGACGGGTGACTGTCGAATTGATTGTAATAGTACAGTAGTGATGTTCCGGCTTTGGCCTCAGGCCAAAAAGCCACGGCTTTTTGGCTTTGGTACTGGGGCCAAAACCATGGCTTTCAGGCCAAGCCAAAGCCGGAACATCACTATGTGCCAATCGTAGTGTTTTTCCCCGGGCCAGCCCGTACCGGGAGATTCAAAAAGCAAAGTCCCGTGGGGACGTTGATACTGAAACATGGGAGTCGACTACTGCACAGGTAGCGCTTCGACCAGGGTTAATTCGACCATCATGCGAATCCCACAATGGTCCACGGTGTGATGTAGAGCCGTATAAATTAGGCTCAGGAAAGATGGGAATAAGCACCGGCGGTGCATGGTGCACTTTCCTGTTGAATATGAGTCACAGACGTGCACTAAATTAGGAATGAGCGGGGTTCGATTCCCCACCGGTGCCTGTGTCCTTATACGCTGACTTTTTTTTTGTATCTGTGTTCACCTCCTCAGAATATTTTTTGTTTACTACAGAGGCCTAGGTAGTACATGGATAAAATCCTCATTACATAGGTCTGGGTGTTGATTCGACTTGAAGAATTTAACTTTAAAAATAACCTACTTTGTGCGAATCACACAATGGTCCACAGTGTGATTTAGAGCAGTATAAATCTGGGTCAGGAAGGATGGGTATGAGCACCGGTGGTGCCATTGAATAGCCGTTGGATGTTTGTTTTCAGGCAGACCGGGGTTCGAGTCGCCACTGGTGCGTATATGGCATTGAGGAGGTTTTTTCTTTCTTTTCGCGTTGCGTATTATGTCCAAAATTCTTCCTTTTTTCATACCCTGCACCACATCTTCATTTAATCCGGTGACCTTAGATATTATTTCGCCAGATTATTGGGACCGTGTCGGGTGGGATGACTTGAAGAAATCCAGCGACTGTAAAACGGTATTGACCGTCGTGCGAATTACACAATGGTCCACGGTGTGATTTAGAGCTGTATAAATCAGGGTCAAGAAGGATGGGGGTGAGCACCGGTGGTGCATGGTGCACGCTGCCCCTGGGTTTGGAGGCTTCTTACGGAGATTCAGGCAGACGGGGGTTCGATTCCCTGCCGGTGCATGGTATCTGGATATATTCATTTTTTTTCCTGACTGTATTCACCACCTCAACACATCATTTATCTCGTTTTAGAGATTTATTCTAGGATATTATATCGCAAGATTATTGGGACCGTGTCGGGTGGGATTCAACTCGAAGAAATCAACCGACTGTAAAATGGTGTTGATCATTGTGTGAATCACACAATAGTCACGGTGTGATTTGGAGCCGTATAAATTAGGGTTAGGAAGTAGGGGAACAAGCACCGGTGGTGCATGGTGCACGCTGCCCTGAAGTAAAAAGTCTTCTAAAATGTCAGGCAGATCGGGGTTCGACTCCCCACCGGTGCATTTTGAGCGATCGTGCTCTTTTTCCTCTATCTTTTTTCGCGCTTCCTCACCACATTTTCGCTTACTAAAAACGCCTAGATATTGTATTGACGGATTATTGGGGAAGTGTCGTGGGGTATTGATGCGGTTGAAGACATGGGGCACTGCCTATACCGATGTTTTTAAAGTCGAACTATTATGATGGCATTGGCCATTGGATGGTTTACAGCTGTAGAAATCACGGTCAGGAGAGGATGGAAGAAGCACTGGTGGTGCATGGTGCACACTGCCACTGAATAAACATATCGCCATGCGCATTTCAGGCAACCCGGGGTTCGACTCCCCGCCGATGTGTGGCACTGTATTGGACTATTCATTTTTTCCCTGACTGTATTCACCACCTCAACACATTATTTATCTCATCCTAGAGATCTAGTCTAAGATATCATATCACCAGATTATTGGGACCGTGTAGAGGTGGAAGAAATCAACCGACTTTAAAATGGCATTGACCATCATGCAAGTCACACAATGGGCCACTGTGCGATTTAGAGCAGCATAAATCAGGGTCAGGAAGGATAGATATAAGCATCGGTGGTGTATGGTGCACGCTGCCATTAAATGAGGGCAATTGTTGAAACGTTTCAGGCAGACTGGGGTTCGATTCCCCACTGGTGTTTACCCAGATCCCCACTTTTTCCCCTGACTTCCCGTCCACCTTAGTATTGTTTTCTTTTAACTGTTTTCACACCTTTGTCGTGTCGTCCCAGTCATCTCGTAAATCAAACTCGCGGGGAAGCATTTCTGTGGACGTCGGATTTCTTTTTTTTTATAAAAGTGAACCGGATAGTCGGAATGTGTAATTGATTATGGGACAGATTTGGATTTAGGGTGCCATAGAGTGGCCAAAGAATGACGGATATAAGCACCGGTAGTGCATGGTGCACTAGTGTTCGGGATCTGGAGGTTCGATTTCCCACCGGTGCATGCAGGCTCCTCGAGCGTATTGTAATTTTTTTCCAGCGGTTTTCGCGCTTCCCCAGGGTATTTTTATACTTTCCTGGGGACCTAGATATAGAAATCGAGAAATTTTATATTTATATTGGGAAAGTGTCGGGAAGGGCTTCAGCTTAAAGAAATCAACCGACTTTTAAATGGTATTGGCCATCATGCGAATCACACAATGGCCCCAGTGTGATTAGAGCTGTATAAATCAGGGTCAGGAAGGATATATATAAGCACCGGTGGTCGGTGCCACTAAATATGCAACCGTCCGATGTTCATTTTCGGGCGAACCGGGGTTCGAGTCCCCGCCGGTGCATCAACGTCTCTCGTAATCCTCTTTTTTTCAACTGTTGGCATCCTGCCGAAATCTTGCAGCTGTCTGAATATCCTTTTTCACCGAGCAGACCGTACCGGGAGATCAAAAAAGCGAAAAATTGGGTACGTTCTGCGCAAGTAGCGCTTCCACCCGGGTTTAATTCGGCCATTGTGTGAATTACACAATGGTGCACAGGTGATTTAGAGCTGCATAAATCCAACTCAGGAGGGAATTGAATAAGCACTGGTGGTGCGTGGTGCACGCTACCATTAAATGGGGTAGTCGTTTAAACGTTTCAAGCAGATCGGGGTTCGACTCCTCGCCGGTGCATAGATGTCTCGTAGTCCTCTTTTTTTTTCCAACTGTTGGCACAATCCTGCCGCAATCTTGTAGCCGTCTGGATATTATTATTATTTTACCAGACAGACGACTCCGTGCCGGTGCATTATAGATTCGATATGAGGAATTTTTTCTTCTGTGATACTAATAAAACTCTTTTCAAGCTGTTTTCAAAGAGCAGACTTTTGCTTACTACAGACACTTAGATATTGTGCAAGTTAGATGCCGATTAGGAGGCCCGCGGTGGGGATGAGAAGGAGGAAAATATATCTGCCTGCGGCAGATATATTTCTAGGCAGCCTGAGAGGCAAATATTCGGGGAATGATGTGCCTCTGAATGTCGAGGTGGATATAGTGTTGTGTGTGTGGGGGGGGGGGGGGGGGGGCTTCGCCGAAGAGGCCGAACGCTAAATACCCAGGCGGCGGGAAAAGCCGGGAAAATGGGTGGGAAGTTTGGATGCCGAGACAGCGAAACCCGTACGCGAAGGCTACCGAGGGCCCGTATGAGGAGACGGACCCCGAGCAACCCAACCGGAGCGCAGCTCGCGCGAGGTCGGGAAAGGAAGGAGGGGCCGAGACCCTACACACGCACTGAGCGGAGGAATTACCAACTATAAATAAAATGGCTCATAATGTAGATATTGAGGAAACGAGACAAAATCGCCAGCTAAATGTCGAACGACAAGGCAAGACAAAGTGTCAAAATCTAGAGGATGGTCGTGCGCACATGTGAACTACCGGATATGCGCGTCCCGCGCCCAAGTAATATGTAAAGGAAAAAGGAGCGCGCGCGATCGCGAAAAGGCCGCGCGCATGGCTTGTGCGGAACTTGGGGTGATAAGAGCGGCGCCGGCGAGTAGACGCGCAGGGAGGGTGGTGAGCGAGGCGAAAATGAGACACAAAAATATAGTCTGTGAAAAAAGCCGCGCGCGGCAGGCGATAGAAGCGGCGCAGCGCGCGCAGTAGATGATGTCCTGCACCAGGAGGCGTCCAAGAACAAGGCGGCGACGCCGAAACGCAGGCGGCGTCCGACGTCAAGTTGAGATGGCGTCAAGCTGAGGTGGCGCAGGGAGCGTATTCGGCACGCGGCCCGGAAAGTGCGCGAGGGAGACCTATGTAGAAACTCTAGTATATGCAAAGCCGATCGTGCGCATGAGGAGTTTTATGGACTGTATAATGTCTACGGTCTGAATTAGATGCACCAGGTCAATATATCGGCCCTGGCACTCACCGAGAGGGATCTCCCTCCGGTACAAGTACATTCGCGCGACGGACCCCCACTCCTTACAGAGGAGGCAGATATTGAGCAGGATTTGCCGCCTATTAAAATCGTGGTTCGGGTTTGACGCCCGTTTCAACATTCGGCGGTATTTTCCGGACACCGCCACTGCCGATCCATTCGCTGGCTTCGTAATTAGAAAAAAGAGTTAGAGCGGTACAAATAAGAGTTTAAAAAGAAGCAAATAAGCACCAGTGGTGCATGATGCACGTCCCCAGTAAAGATAAAAAATCCTCGTGTGATTCAAGGGGGAAAGAGGTTCAAGTCCCCGCCGGTGCATTCTCGTAGAGGATATTCCCCATTTTATCTCATCATTCTCGGACGTTGTAGACGAGGTGAAGGGGGTTAAGAAAAGCCTGAACAAGCGCCGGTGGTGCGTGGCATACGCCACCATTAAATAAGTGCAGTTCGTAACAATTTCTCAGATCGGGTTTCCTGCTGTTTTTTTCTCTCTCCTGCTGCAGCCTCCGTCGTGTTGTCTCCTGGCGAACTCGCATGGGAATTAAAAAGAATCAAGTGAACGAGTCTCGGATCTTTTTCAACATATATACACCAAGTTGGCCAATTTTGATTTTTGTTGACAACCAAATCTCCGCGACATCCAGATCGATACCTCCTACATGCACGCAGCCAACTTTCCTTCTCCCCTTTTAAGTGGCAGTTTTGGACCGCACTTGCCGGTGGTTGAGGCATATTTTAGAAAAAATCCACTAAAATGGGTTTCTTCTTCCGACTTGTCCTCAGGGCTAGCTGCCGCGATGAGTGCTGACACTGCTTTGAACAAATCCCGCCTTATGGTGCGCCCGTTTGCGGGACTAGAAGATGAAGGTCATTCCAAATTGTCAGAATAAGAACACCTGTGCCGTACTCGATGAAGATAATATTGGAGAGATCCGTGCTTAGAGTCCAATTGTACGCAAATCACGTTTGTTGCTCGACAACCACACCAAAAAGCACGGCAACGTCCTAAAATTGGCGTATGTAAGTGGGTCAGCAATATTTCGCAAGTTAGATCCACCAACGGCCTTGATGTTATCAAATCACCATTTCGACACCGCAGATTTGTACGCTGAACGGGAGCAGGAGTCAGGCAATCTACATCACCACCTGAGTAGTGTGATACCGAGTGCAAATGCATCATGGTCGAAGATACCGGGTCTCCAGTGCATGGTCGCAAGATTGGTCGACTGCCAGATGTCCCAGAGTAAATCGCTGCGAAGGACGAAATAGCTACCGAAATGGCGTGAACGAAAACTCATTAATTTAAAGTAAAAAAAAAAACACGTTCAACGTACATGTCATGTTTCTCAAATGGCTTGAGTCTATCAATTTTATGGGCATTGTTATACAGCGCGAGCCCTATATCGGCTGCAGACACACTGAGCCGTTCGAAGCGCCAGAGCGCATTCTCGTCCTCTTCCGCGTGTTCCCATCCGTGAATCGGATTCCCATTGCGTACGAAGCTACGACGAACACCATTATTCAGCTCTTTTGAGTAACATATTTAGGAGCAGACATACCCGCCGCTGAGGTTCATATAGGCTGAAAATAGCGAGAATTCAGAAAAGTAAGAGAGGTAAGGAGCTCGAGAGGTTCTTACTTTGTGATGCAACATTTCGCACCTTCCTAATAGACGAAGATCAATCGAAATGAATAGACAAAGATTGGGCTAGACCAATAGCAACCCCCAGCCGCGAGGATCTCCCATTGTTGATTCGGCGCGGGCATGCCGTTAGGACCCTCCGGACGATGTCCTACAATCTTGGTGGCATTTGAGGCATTACTTAGGGACGTAAGGCCCCGAGGTGCAAATATAGACGCGCCACTTACCGCCCCACAAGTCGAGGTACGTGCCTCCGTGGAGATTCTGTAGGCTGAAATGTCCCGCCGCCATATTGCGTACCATCCATAGTTGATTGAGAGGGAAGGAGTTGCATCGACTGTCGGAGAAGGACGCTTGCTGCCACATCTGGATCGGGGCGCCTCTATCCAGTTGATGTATTTTTTCAGAACCCATTGGCCGGTAATATTTCGTTGAGATTCACCAGCTAGAAATCCTATCCTATCCTATTCATTTTATTT